ACGTGTTCAGGCTAATGTACAGAATGGAGATTGACCTTGTCTCTGGAGGGAACTAAAAACTGAGGCCTTGTCTATTTAAAATGCTTTCCTGAGCCTGACTAGAGTTTAGTCAAGCAGTCTCTAGGTAGGCAAAATCAGGTAAAATCAGTTTGGTCCTTACACAACCAGATCTCCAGTCTTTTCATCCACAGTCCTGCTGGGGAGATTCCAACCTCCCACAGCGACGTTAGCAGTTGAGTGCAAACTGTATGGGACACCCAGATACCCAGGGCAGAATCCTCCCCTCCTAAGGTCCTCTCTCTGTCTGTACTGCAGAAGACTCAGTGCCTGTGCCAGCCATGAGCCCGCAGACCAAAGCTTTGAAGGACAGACACACTACCCTGGGAACCAGCTGACCACAGCCTCCAACAGAAAGAACATTCTGGTCCACTGGAGGAGGAATTCGTATCTGAGAACCCACCCAGAAAACTCACTTGTGTCTAGTCAATTGTGAATTGTGGCAGCGCCATTGCACAGAGTGGAACTGTCCATGGGCATTTCTGAGGCTGTATATTTTCATGGAAGGAGCACTCAAGATATCTGACAATTTATTGAGTAAGACAGATCTGCTGCACAAAGACACTTTAAAGAGTTTAAGAGCAAAGACGTCAATATATGTATTGTTAATACATACAGATATGTATGGAGCTCTGGTAGCCAAGTGGTTATGAATCGGGCTGTTAACCTCAAGGTCAGCAGTTCAAAATTACCAGCTGTTCCATAAGAGAAAAATGAGGGTTCTGCTCCCATAAATATTTACAGCCTCAGAAACCTTACAGAGGGTCACTAGGAGTTGGAACCCACTGCACAGCACATCACCACCACCATAGATATGTATGCTGGTAAGCGCCTTCGAGTCAGCTCCTCCCCATAGGGACCTTGCCACATTCACCAACGTATTTCTTACAGAATTCCAATTAGTACACATAGAAGAATTGACGGGAACACAAAATTTGGGAAACACCACAGTAATCATACACAGGTAGTAATTATCAATGGGTTTGTTGTAGTTGTTAGGAACCATCGAGTAGGGACCTCACAGCGACCTTATGCATAGCAGAATGAAACACTCCTCAATCAAGGGCCAACCTCACTACTGTTGTCATGCTTGAGTCCACTGATGTTGACACTAGGTTATTTCATCTCATTGGGAGTCTTCCCCTTTATCTCTGACATTCCATCTAAACAAACATGTTATCGTTCACTGTGGAAAAGCAGTGGACTGGGAGCTACAGGTTCACAATTCAAGTCCACCAGCTGCTCTGCAGGAGAAACATGAGGCCTTCTTGGTCCTGCAGAGATTTATGGACTCAGAAATACGATATAGAGACACTATGAGTTGGAACAGACTTGACTGAATGAACAGAAAGTCAGAGTATTATGGAAATCAGAATATCTGCAGTCTCAAAGTATCACCCTATGAGACACTATGTATAAAATTAAGAACATCGAACTGAAAATATATGACAAAATTGAAGGAAATGTATGAAAACTAAAGACTCAAACACAGCATAACATCAATGTAATAAAGTATGCACAATATAATGCGGGAGTCCAGCTCTAGCAGGGTCGTGAGACTGGAAAGGAAATGCAGAATTGGTGAAACTGAAAGTAATCGAGGAGTCTCCACTTTGTTGGCTGATGGAGCCCACTTCCCCAGCCCTGCAACAATCTTTATTTATACTTAAAGTTACACAATACATAATGATTTGACACTTTGATATTTTCCCTTGAATTATTACACATATTTAATTATATCATTCTTTCATCTTGTGATTATAAAATCTTAACAAAAGTATTTCTATAATATTCCACCTGACCTTTCCATATCCTGTTCATTTTGTGACCAGTATTTTTCTTCTGACATCATCTCCTTTTCTACATAAGTGATACAATGTATTTTCCTATTCCTACTAAAAGGTCAAGTTAAACCTTATACAAGTCATTTCCATCTCCCAAACCCGATTACATTCTCTTTCTAATATAAGTTTCTATTGACTCAATCATCTTTGCTTACACTACCTGTTTCTACTACTTATTTATCAATCTTCTATCCTACATAAAGCACCACTATTTTCTATAGAGAAGTATGAGTATTCCAGAACACTTAATTGTACTTCTGAGAAATCTGTACCTAGACCAAGAAGCAGTTGTTCGAACAGAACATGGGAAC